TAGATGGCTTGCAGAATATGAAGACTGCAGACGATATCTGCTCGGGAGCGAATGGGTGGGGTATTTTATGACGATGATGAAGCTTGAAGTTTCCGAAGGTTGTTTGGTCAGGTTGCAGTTCAGATCACGTCGGGGTCACCACTGTGGCCGTGGAAGGAAAAGGGGAGATCTCCCACCGGGCAAGGTGTTCTGCCCGGGGAGCGGCCGACACTCCGTGTGATAGTTCGGAGATGTTCTATATATACTGTTTATTATTCGGAATTCCGATAGCGTGATTTAGGCTTCGGTGTGTTTCGCTTGAGGTGCGACGACAGCGCCGCTACAAATGCAACCCGTACCAAAAATAGAATTAATGCGATGAAATTTTAGGGCGATAATTTTTCGTGTACGTCACTAATTCATTCACCATTCATCACCAATTAGTCACCAAATCTTAAAGTAGAAATTACATCACAAAAGCAAACAATAATGATGTTTTCAAGGGGAGGCTACTAGCTCGAATTCAGGCTAGAATCCTGCTAAAAAATTGTTATATTGCAGGTTATAGAGCGCGCGTTAGGGAGTATGAACAGTAAGCATGGGTTTAAACAGTCTCAAAATGGCAAAGGTGACATTATTAGTTACAAAATGACAGGACATGCGCGTGAATTGTTTCTCTCGATAGTATTTTTTTGAATTTATTAATATTTGCCAAGTTATAAAAACGATTCACGGAAGGAAACTAAGAAAAACAATGATATTTCTTTTCATCGAAATGTAATATTATCGATAAGAAAACCCTGATTTTAACAAAATTACTCAGGGTGTCACAGGATAGAACAGGAGGCGCGCACGAGGTGACACAGCACTTGTGCTTTGCCAAGTTATACTCGAATATTTTTAATAACATAATTCCTTTTGTAATAATTATAATATAATCACAGTATTAGAAATTAAGACCTTTTGTATTCCTAAACCACATGGATCAATGTCTAAAATAAAACATGGATTGCCATGCAGCAACCATTTGATTCATTTGTTGCGTGCTGTCATTCAAAAATATCGATATCGATATAATTACAAGATATTTTATCCTAATATCAATATATTAGGATAAAATATCTTGTTCGCAAAACTGCGATAAAGCCACATTTACACACTCTTTAGGGGACAATAACTTAATTAGATTTTTGTGTTTATTTAATAAATAACGTTTTATAAATTAATTCCTGTTTTTATTGACCTGCTAAAACCTACCATATATTTTTTACTTACCTACCTACATCGATGTAAACATATCAAAAGAATTTAGGGAAATTATTTACGACTTTATATTTTAAAATCTTTTTAGTTTCCTTCCTTTTTAGTTTTAAGTAAATAAAAAACAAAACTAAATACGGTGGCAAAATTTTTAGTAATTCGTTACGTCAAGGAAAATTTAAATTGTTATACTGATTTTATTTAATAAAAAGGGATTAGATTGCTTTACTTTTTTATTTTAACGTGCTGTGTGAGCTTTAAGAGCCATGTCACATCGTTATTTGAGTCGAGGGATGCCCGATCTGAATTAATTTTCTGGAAGATCCATTAACGGCCATACGATCTAACGATTTCTGAATCGATTCAAGGGAATGAGATCTTCACCCAGATCGATTCGTAATCAACTAAAACCGAACCGTAACGTACTAAGTACTAACGTACGAACCGATCTTTCTATACCTATTATCGTATTGCCGAGGAGGGGAGAGAATAACTAAAACAAAGTAAGATTACTTGCCATTACTACATCGAATAAAAGTAGCTTCGAGTTACAATGCAATGTACAATGTAATGTATGAAATAAGAAGGTACATATGATAATATTTTGTTTATTTAGACACGCAGTAGCGTGTCAAGCCAAGTTCAAGCAGAACGGCGAGCAGCACCGTGTGTTATATTACACAAACCATTTGGAGCCACTTTTGACCCCCTCATAACTCAAAAACTATTTCACATAAACGTTTCGAATATGGCACGTATATTGAGACTTGCAAGATATATATGTACTTCAATTTATAACTTAGGATAATATATTGTAGCCTTAGGTCTGACTTGGCTAGTTTTCATATACGAATTATATTATAACCTTCGCAAGTTCTAAACCTGTTACTTGTCGGTTCTTATTTTATTATTCCGAAAATTTGGCTTGCTGGTAAAAACTAGCCATCGACATGATAATTCGTATATGAGAACTAGCCAAGTCAGACCTTAGGCTACAATATATTATCCTAAGTTATAAGAAGAAACGATATTTTATGTTATTATAAATAAATTTTAGCGCCGACCATTGAACTTGGCACCCATTTAGATCTCACTTCTTTTGTCGTTAAAGTCAACAACCAAGGCATATATCATAATATTGAACTTGGCTCTCATTTCACATTTATGTTTTTGATGGAATTTTATTATCGTATATAATTTGTTTATGTTAGTGTTTTATCATTTTTCATTCCTTGAATTATTGCGATATGAAAAGTTAAGCTGTTCTGTGAGCGTAAACTATTAATTTAAAATACTTTTTAATATGGCCCAGCCAACAAATCAAACGTTTGTGTTTTTTAAATTAAATGTGACATGGGTGGACGATGTAAAATGTATAAATAGATGGTTAAAAGTAGTAAAGATACTACCAATTTAAAAAATCAACTCAGACATCACATAGGCACTCACGCTGAGTTAAGCAAAAGTGAAGAAAGTTCTTCAATTGCTGTGAATTGCCAAAATCGTAAGTATATATCTATCTTCTAAACAAAAATAAAGTACCTATATTCTACCAGCTTTTTACTAAATATATATCAAACTATATACGATACTAATTACAAAAATACATTTTTAAAACTTTTGTCTGGCTGTCTGTTTGTTCCGGCTGATCTTAGATACTTAGATACGGCTGGGCTGATTTTGACGGGACTTTTACTGGCAGATAGCCGATATTATACTTACGCTACTTTTATTTTAGAAAAAATTTGGGTTCCGCGCGTAAAAATTACAATGCGTGTAATTGGGAACAAAATCCGATTAAATTAGGGAAGTATATTTGGAAGTAATCTGTATATAAAATAATAAAGCGAGAGTAAAACCGCGGGTTGCAGCTATTAAAATAATATAATTAAGTTGTAGCCAGTATGGTGGTTTGTTTTACTTGAATAATACAATCAACTATACATCAGGTCGTTCAGGCCTGGCGTAATATTTATTACAATATACTAGCCATATACATACGTAAATCGGTTTCGGGATTCCGAACGCAGCAAGTCCATATAAAATCATAAATCCATCACACACTTACGGTAGTTTTCCGTCACGGGATTTCGTATGTGTGTGGCCGACCTATTCGTTCCGTTTCGGAATCCCGAAACGGAATTCCGTATGTAGTGTGTTGCAGGCCTATAACTTAAGCTCAGTGGGTTCAAATTGAATGAAATGACGAGCAAGATGCTAGCCTGATGATAATCTTCACTAGCGAATTGAGTGAGCTATTCTTTGCTGTTATTATAACACGTATTTTTTTAGAACCAACCCGTTCAACCATTGAACCAACTCGTTCAACCAGCTGCATCAATATTAGTGATGATAATGATAATTTAAGTGAACAAGCATTTGGCAAAACTCCGCTAAATATATTGATGCCAAAATCATCCAGAAATCTTCAGACACGTATCGATGAGGTTATAATAATAATAATAATAATAATAAGATAGAAAAGTCCGCACTACCATGACGTCCCATAGGATGCATCATCCGAGATCGTCGGTAATGAGGTTGTACTTGTCGCGGAAGCATGGTGGTCGTGGCTTCTTGAGCGCGCTCACCATGCATAATCGCGAAGTGTGCAGCCTCCGTGATTACTTCCTGGCGAGATCGGATGATCCATTCTATATGGACGTCATTTCTTGTGATAAAGGACTTACCCCTCTATCCTTAGCCAACGAGCAATGGCAAGACCCGGCAGTGCAGAGCATTTCCGACCGAGAGACCGTATGGAAGGAGAAGGAGCTCCACGGGAGGTTCTACAAGGCTCTACATGAGCCTTTCGTAGACACAGTAGCCTCCCTCCACTGGCTACGCTTTGGTGATCTCTTCGGGGGAAACCGAGGGTTTTGTCTGTGCAATACAGGATCAGGTTATTAAGACCAACAACTATCGGAGATACATCCTAAAGGATGGCACCGTCGACATCTGTCGAGCTTGTCGCCATCCCGGTGAGTCACTTAGGCATGTCATCTCCGGTTGTTCGGCGCTTTCTAACTCTGAGTACTTGCACAGGCACAACCTAGTAGTCAGAATTCTACACCAGGAGCTCGCTCTGAAATACGGTCTCGTGGACCGGAAATTGCCGTACTACAAGTACTTGTCGGAAGCCGTGCTCGAAAATGATCGCGCCAGGCTCTATTGGGACCGGGCCATCATCACAGACAGGACTATTCTTGCGAATAAGCCTGATATTGTGATGATGGACCGGGCACAGTCAAGGATATTTTTGGTCGACATTACCATTCCGTATGACGAGAACCTCGTGAAAGCCGAAACAGACAAGCAAACAAAATATCTGGACCTGGCTCACGAGGTGACCGACATGTGGGGTGGTCTGCCGACCGAAATTATTCCTTTAGTCGTCTCTGCAAACGGGCTAATCCCAGTCAGCCTCTCGAGTCATCTGAGGCGGCTGGGACTACGTGGCGGACCGCTCCAGGCTCAAATGCAGAAGGCGGTGCTCCTCGATACCGCCCGCATCGTCCGCCGGTTTCTTTCCCTTTCCCCCTAACCGTCGGCCGTTTGGTCTCCCCTGCCGAGGGCCTCCATCTGGTTGGGCTTTTATTTATTTATGTACTTTTATATTTATTTTATTTTATTGAATATATTTATCCTTTCATTTCCATTTATAATTATATATTTATAGAACCCAACCAGAAGAGAAAACCATATAGATACCCCCATAATAATAACCCCCCTACGGGATCACCTTGTCGTGGTTGGGGGGCTTAAGGGAAAGGCATGTACTCAACTGCAGTCTGAACAACTATACTCTGTAACAATAACAAGGCAGTATAATCTCTATGCCTATTAATATTTAATGACCCTTTCCCAACTAACGATCCCAAACCAGGTTTAAAATAATGAGTGCACGGCGTAAACTACGGCCCCCAGTGCCCGGCAGATTCAGTAACCATGTCGACTCTGGCGGAAGCCGAGATGGTGCTGTATCTTGGGGCGCATAAAGTCATTTAACAGAGCAACGCATAGCTGACCAAAGAAGATTAATTCTACGTAAGAAATATTTAAGTGTTGACCGCTTAGAATTAATTAAGAATGACTTGCAAGAACAGCATAACGATATACAAGCCAATGACAACTCAATACTTCAGATAGGTATCACAGACAACGAAGAACCAGATACAGAAAGTTTATATTTAAATGCTGAAAACCACACAACAAATGAAAATGAAAATTTACATAGGGAAAAGATAATTGCCATAGTTGAAATGTTTGCTAAAGCTTTAGAATATTTTGCTAATACAAACCCAACAGAAAGACAATTTATACCAAAGCAGAGGTCATCAAAGAAATTGAGTAAAATAGTGGCCTATGTAAACAATATTTTATTGCCACAATATATCAACAGCGAAATTGAATTTAAAACATTTCAGAATTTAGTGTACTGTGCAGCATGGACTTCAGCTAAGCTCAACGGAGCTAAAATTGAAATAGCTATACAAATTGGTAATCCGTTAGGACCTGAGAAACAAAAGAAATATAATAAGCCAAAGTGGGAACAAATATTAGAAAACAAAGTAAGTGAATTAAGAGCAAAAATTGCAAGGCTAACTCAATATATTAATGGAAACCGAGGTCAAAAATTAATCAAACACGTAAATTCTATACTCGAACAACATAAAATTCATTCTGTCCACGAAGAACATAACACCAAACACGAACATTTTTTAGACACACTTAAACAAAAACTAAAACTTACTAGTAGTCGGTTAAAAAGATATAGAGCATGCTCTCTACGAAAAACTCAAAACATTCTATTTTGCTCAAATGAAAAACTTTTCTACCGTAACATAAAAAATCCTTTTAAAAATAAAATCAGCAGTTTGAAAAGCTCCGAAAATAATATCTTACCATCACCGAGAGAATTACAAAGTTACTGGTCTACAATATGGGAGGAACCTAAACATTATAATACAGAAGCGGATTGGATCAAAAATCAAATAGACACATCACAGATTAAAGCCATGCAATTTCAACATATCAAGATAGACACTTTCCATAAAGTAATTAAAAAACTGCATAATTGGAAAACACCTGGATCAGATAATATACATAACTATTGGTATAAAAAGTTTACAACTATCCACCCGATTCTGTTTAATTTTGTTAATAAATTCATACAAAGCCCGCATACTTTGCCGCAATACATTAGTTCAGGAATAACGTATATGATACCAAAAGAGCCTAGTAATCTTGACAATCCTGCAAAATATAGACCTATCACATGTTTACAAACATTGTACAAAATAATTACATCTTGCTTAACTGAAACCATTTATGAACACATAGAAGCTAATAACATATTGTCAGAAGAACAAAAAGGTTGTAGAAAATTTAGTCAGGGTTGCAAAGAACAGCTCATAATAGATGCAGTAGTATTAAAGCAGGTACAATCAAAAAGAAAAGATTTATTTAGCATGTACATTGATTATAAGAAAGCTTATGACTCAATCCCGCACACTTGGTTTTATGTGCGCAATTCAGGACCAAATCATAGAGACACGCAATTATCAAAAGCATATTATTAAAATAAAAAATTTACCTACCGACACATGTAGACGCTTGCTTCAGAAACAATTCAACACATCACTGGTGCCTGTAAAGCGATTGTTCAGACGGACTATAAGTATCGGCATGATCAAGTAGCCAATATCATTCACCAAAAACTTGCCTTTAAGTATAAATTAACTGACCAGCCAACTCAAGTATACTATAAATATAAACCAGAAATAGTCCTTGAAAATACCACTCACAAAATGTATTTTGACAGAGCTATACTTACTGACAAAACAATACACTTTAATAGACCGGATATAACATTAATAGATAAAGCGAATAAATGTGCTCTTATTATTGACATTGCTATACCTAATTCACATAACTTACAGACAACAATTAATGAAAAAATTTCCAAGTACACTGAATTAAAACATGAAATTATTAGAATGTGGAATTTGCATAACGCCATTATAGTCCCTATAGTCCTCTCTACAACTGGTGTAATACCAAAAGCGCTTCATCAATCATTAAAAACTTTAGATTTACCAAAACTAACATATATTCAATTACAAAAAGCAGTTTTACTTAATACTTGTAGAATAGTTAGGAAATTTATCTCTACAGAAAACTACCCATAACCAAACAAGTTCATGGTATCCACTTGGCTTTGTCCCGTGGTAATAACCATTAATCCAGTTTTGTTAAAAACAAACTGAGAAAACGTAGAAAATATAAATAGCAATAATAATAATAATATTAGAGCCTTTCGTAGACACAGTAGCCTCCCTCCACTGGCTACGCTTTGGTGATCTCTTCGGGGAAACCGAGGGTTTTGTCTGTGCAATACAGGATCAGGTTATTAAGACCAACAACTATCGAAGATACATACTAAAGGATAGCACCGTCGACATCTGTCGAGCTTGTCGCCATCCTAGTGAGTCACTTAGGCATGTCATTTCCGGTTGTTCAGCGCTTTCTAACTCTGAGTACTTGCACAGGCACAACCTAGTAGTCAGAATTCTTCACCAGGAGCTTGCTCTGAAATACGGTCTCGTGGATCAGAAATTGCCGTATTACAAGTACTTGTCGGAAGCCGTGCTCGAAAATGATCGCGCCAGGCTCTATTGGGACCGGGGGAATCACAGACAGGACTATTCTTGCGAATAAGCCTGATATTGTGATGATGGACCGGGCACAGTCAAGGATATTTTTGGTAGACATTACCATTCCGTATGACGAGAACCTCGTGAAAGCCGAAACAGATAAGCAAAGAAAATGTCTGGACCTGGCTCACGAGGTGACCGACATGTGGGGTGGTCTGCCGACAGAAATTATTCCTTTAGTCGTCTCTGCAAACGGGCTAATCCCAGTCAGCCTCTCGGGTCATCTGAGGCGGCTGGGACTACGTGGCGGACCGTTCCAGGCTCAAATGCAGAAGGCGGTGCTCGTCGATACCGCCCACATCGTCCGCCGGTTTCTTTCCCTTTCCCCCTAACCGTCGGCCTTTTTTCTCCCCTGCCCAGGGCCTCCATCTGGTTGGGCTTTTATTTATTTATGTATTTTTATATTTATTTAATTTTATTATATTATATTATTATATATTTTATTATATAATTAGAATAGCGTTTGCTGGGACAAATATCAGTTTGTCCCAGCCGGATATCACACAGAAACTAACGGAGCGTATAGGTGACCTGAAGCAAAAAATCGCTGCTTGTGGAAAGCGGATTCGATAATTTACCGAGAGGTCAAGGCGGTTCAACCAGAGTCGTCTCTTCCAGAGTGATTAGAAGAGGCTCTACAAATCATTGGAGCGACCAGAGGTATGTTTAGCGGGCCCAGGACCGGATAAGGCCGACACTATCGCATTCTGACGTGGCCTGTGATCAGAGCCCGTAAACCACAGCGAAGGCCCTTGGATGGAAGTTGTGGTGAGCCAAGGTGCGAGTGTTACGCCTATGGACCCCGTCACTATAACGCCGGAAGACGTGGCTGAGGCGGTCCGTAGGGCCCCGAACTGGAAAAGTCCGGGGCTCGACGGGCTGCATCATTACTGGCTGAAGGGGTTCGTAGTGTGTCACGCTGTGCTGGCCCGGCAGTTTCAAGTGGCTCCCGAACAGAAGTCGCTCCCGAGCCTCTTTACTACTGAGATCACTCACTTGGTTCCTAAAGATCAGGATACCAGACCCGAGCAAATACCGCCCCATCACGTGTCTACCCACCATATATGACATTGATATCCATTTTGAGCGCGAGAATCACTCGTCACCTGGAGCTTAATCAGGTGATGTTACGCGCTCATAGTGGCTGATGGGGTAGTGTTCGTGGAACCAAGGAACCACTCCACATTGACGCGGTCAGTGACAAAGTGGTGAAACGCAACCGTCGGAACTTCTCCGCCGCTTAAAGAGGGTCCTCGAGCTGTACAAGATTGACTACACAGTTAGAGACTTCCTCGAGCAGTTTATGGGGCAATAGAATCGAAACGTAGCCAGTTAAGTGAGGCGACTGTATGTCCGAAGGGCTCATGTAGAGTCCTGTAGTATCTCCCGTGGAGCTCCTTCTCCTTCCATACGGTCTCCCGGTCAGAAATGCTATGTTCTGCTGGGTCCTGCCGTTGCTCGTTGGCTAAGGATAGAGGGGGGAGCCCTTTATCACTAGAAATGACGTCATTATAGAATAGATCATCCGATCTCGCCAGGAAGTAATGGCGGAGGCTGCACACTTCGCGATTATGTATGGTGAGCGCTCTCAGAAAGTTATGCCCACCACGCTTTCACGGCAAGTACAACCTCATTACCGACGATCTCGGATGATGTATCCTATGGAACGTCATGGTAGTGCGGACTTTTCTATCCAGGGGGTTAAGCTCAGTCTGAGTCCACCTGAGTATACCAAAGGTATACATGAGGACAGGCAAGACCCAACCGTTGTATGCGTGTTTTAATCACACCGAACAAAAGGCTGTTAAGCACTATAATCAAGCGTGCATAAAACACGTCGCAAACTGACTGTTTCATACCCATCTCATCGATACCGATGTTTTGTGACATACCCAGGTATCGGTGTGTTTCAGCCTCGGAAAGGGACCTTAAGATGACGGGCATAGATAAGTCTACGCCATCAGAGTTAGTAACCCTTCCATTTTCAACATGGGGAGCCGCACTCTTATCCGCCCCGAGCTATATTCCAATAAAATTGCTAAATTCACAAGTGATTTTTAGCAATTCCACAAGATGGGAGCGACTGGAGGCGAATAACTTAAGGTCATCCATATAGAAAAGGTGGGTCACTTTTGTCCCTCCTTTCCGTAGCTGAAATCCTCTCCCGGATCCCTCCAGTAAGGTACTGAGAGGGTTCAGGGAGAGGCAGAACCAGATTGGACTCAGACAATCGCCCTGGAAGATACCCCTTCTTATCCTTATGTGGTTCTCCGCAGCCATCATCCGCTCACCCAGATGACAAAGGATCGTACTCCACTGCCCCATACACAGCTCGAGGAAGTCTCTCACTGTACAGTCTATCTTGTACAGCTCGAGGACTCTCTTTAGCCATGTATGGGGCACCGAGTCGAATGCCTTTCTGTAGTCTATCCAGGCGGCGGAGAAGTTCCGACGGTTGCGTTTCACCACTTTGCCAATGACCGCGTCAATGAGGAGTGGTTCCTTAGTTCCACGACCACCGCCCCGACATCCATTTTGAGCGCGTGACATCACCTGATTTAGCTCCAGGTGACGAGTGATTCTCGCGCTCAAAATGGATGTCAGTGTCTTATATATGGTGGGTAGACACGTAATGGGGCGGTATTTGCTCGGGTCTGTGGTAACCTGGTCTTTAGGAACCAAATGAGTGATCCCAGTAGTGAAGAGGCTAGGGAGCGACTTCTGGTTGAGAGCCTCTTGAAACTGACGGGCGAGCACAGCGTGACACACCATGAACCCCTTCAGCCAGTAGTGATGCAGTCCGTCGAGTCCCGGACTTTTCCAGTTCGGGGCTCTACGGACCGCCTCAGCTACGTCATCCGGCGTTATGATGACGGGGTCCATGGGCGTAATACTCGCACACTGACTCGCCACAACTTCCGTCCAAGGGCCCTCGCTGTGGTTTACGGGCTCTGACCACAGGCCACGCCAAAATGCGACAGTGTTAGCCTGATCCGGTCCTGGGCCCGCTCCACATACCTCTGGTCGCTCCAATGATTTGTAGAGCCTCTTCTGATCACTCTGGAAGAGACGATTCTGGTTGAACCGCCTTGACCTCTCGGTAAATCGGCGAATCCGCTTCCCCCAAGCGGCAATCTTTTGCTTCAGGTCGTCTATGCGCTCCGTTAGTTTCTGCGTGATATCCGGCTGGGACAAACTGATATTTGTCCCAGCAAACGCCATTCTAACGGTGCGCACAACCCTCGGTCTATTATTACCCGACCTGAAGCTTATCAGTCTGCCGATAAGGGCCCTTGCCTTTGCGATACGGTCCTCAATTCTTTTTCTCCAGGCTGGGATGGCGCTACTTTGTTTAGTAGCACGTCCAGCCATGGGAAGTTTGGCGCCAATAATACGGCAAGCTGCCACTGCGGCGCCAAAAAGAACTGAGTCCGTCTCGCAAAGGTCCCGGCTGGCTTCCAAATAGGTTACCAGCATTGGGTTAAGAGCCCTCACGACAGCCCGATTTCGCTTGCTTAGGGGTATGCGGGGGAAGTCGCGGTCGATTTTCGAGAGGCATGCTGCGCGTTTCTAAAATCGCCTCTTCCAATATACTCCTCATTTGCTCTAGTTCGTGGGAGACCATTTATTATTATTATTATTATTTACATTACCACTGGTTCGAAAAAAACCTCTGTCCTGGGAAGAACCAGCAAGAAGCCCAGCGGGACTTTCTTTTTAAACAAATTTTACAATGTAAAGGGTCACAAAATATTTACAAAATTTATTTTAGAAACAGCTTGGAAGAGACCACCTCATTCCCAGGGATTATTATCAACCATGTATTCATTTATGTTATAATAACCCTTTTTAGACAGTTTCTGTTTAATTAAATATTTAAACTTGGTAAATAGAGAGACCTTGTATATTTTCTGGGACTTTGTTGTAATAGCGTATACATTGCCCCAAGAATGAATTACTGACTCAGTGGAGTCGAGAAACTGGTAGATAGTCATGAGTATGATAAACAATTTATAGTGCAAAAAGGTAGGCATACTAACCTGGCTGAAAAAAATTGTAGATAGAACTTCATTAATAGACGAACCTAAGAAGGGAACGATACCTTATTATTTCAAAAACCAATTTATGAAAAATACAAAAGCTCACGAAGTTATTAATTATAAGAAATACCATAGAATATTTCTTCGAAAAATGAAAATTAGGAATTTGAAATCAACGAACGGACTTTTGAAAACCTGTAACGTTGATATAAACAATGCTATAGCAAACCGATGCATAGGTTCCTCATCAAATAATAATAAAATGCTTTTTCGATGAAAATCACTATAATCAGAAGATACTTCTTTTACATCAAAATATTGCGGGAGTTTTAAACAAACAAGATTTGATTGCAGTAAGTTTGAATGAACTAGCTAATAGTAACAAATAAATTCAAATCATTTGCTTCACTGAGACTTTTACTAAAAGTGGCGAAGAACCTAATCTTAAGCTGTTAGGTTTTCAGCTAGAATCATTCTACTCCAGACCAAAAGAAAGACGAGGCGGAGTATGTATAATTGTAAGAAAAAATTTAAATTATAATGACTTAATGATAACGAAAGAGTATGAAATGACAAAACATTTTGAATGTTGCGGAATTGAAATCGGTAATTTTAATCTTATAATTTTATGCAAATATTGAACACCTAATTCTGACATATACATAATTTTCGAAAAATTATATAAATTATTATTAAAATTATCAAGAGGAAATAGAAAACGAATAATCATAGTAGGATATTTTAATATAGACACTGTGAATGTTAATAAATACTCTAAGAAGCTTAAAGATCTATTACTAAATTTTAACTTAACACAGCGCATAACCTCCCCAACCAGACATTATTCATGTATTGATCACTTAATAAGTAATGTTACACAAGCAAAAGGAGCTTCCTATGAAAGTCAGTAAAACACTTATATACTGGTTTCAAGAAAAAAGAGACTCTGCGAAAGATAACATAGAAAAGTTCTTGGAATGTATACAATCAATATCTTTTTCTAAAATCTAGACTGAACAACACACCAACAAAGCATTTTCAAGCTTTCATAATATTTACAAACTGTTCTTCGATCTGTATTTTCCAACCAAATTAATTAAGATTCTTTTAAGAAATAATAAAAGTTATCGACTTTCAAGAGGTATAAAAATATCTTGGTTAGTAAAAAGAAAACTATTTTATAAATATCTGCTTACAGCAGCAAATAAAAGTTTAAATAAATCTAGATTATATAAGTTACGTCAAAATTCTTAGGAAATGTATTTTAAAGGCACAAAAAATACTATGCTATATGGAATGTCATAAGAACAAATGTAACTAATAGAATAACTAGTAAAGAAATAGACACCATAAATCATAAATGAAAGAACCGTGTTAGAAGGATGCGACATTGCAAATGCGTTTAATAATTTTTTTATAGATGCGACAAATAAACCAAAAAAACAAAAACCCACGACTCCTGATGAAATTAATCAAATTATATTATTTTCGAAACACTAATTCGGTGTGATATGATATACCGACAAAAATATTTAAACTAAGTTCTATAAATATAGCATCAATACTTAGTCATATCATGAACTTATATTTTACTCAAGATATTTTTCCTGCAGATCTCAAGTATTCAGTTTTAAAACCCATCTTCAAAAAAACTAAAGATATTAATAATTACAGACCTGTTGCAATACTACCCATTTCATCAAAAGTTTTTGAAAAAGCAATGCTTAAGAGAGTCAATACTTTTATGGAAAATTTTAATATTATTAATAACGCACAAAATGGTTTTGTAAAAAATTAATCCACTACATTAGCGACGTTCCAACTCGTTAAGTTTATTACAGAATGCATTAATGACCAGTGGTAGCTCTTTTTGGATTATGAGTAAAGCATTTGACTTCATTCATCACAGAATACTTCTCAATAAATTCGAAAGTTACGGAATACATGGAAAGCAAATGAATGGTTTAAAATTTACCTGGGTCAAAGCCAGCAATGCACTGAAATAACAAAACTCAAAAACCTTAAAAAAAAAGTCGAAATATCGGTTAGACAAATATGGTGTACCACAAGGAAGTATTCTGGGTCCTCTACTCTTCCTAACATATATTAATGAGCTACCAACAAGACCTCCTCATAAAACGATTCTTTTCGCTGATGACGCAACAATCATTCTTAAATGTAAGAACAAAAAACTTTTTTGAATTTGATATCAATAATTCACTAAAAGATATAATTGATTAATTGTAATTGGAAAATAAATGTTCAATCAATATGTGACAAATTAAACAGCTTTGTATTTGCGACTTCGAGAAATAGCATCTGCCAAAGCAGCGTTAAACGCCAATCATGGCTACGGTTTATCGATATTGCAGTACGGACTTCTGATAAGGGGCAACTGTTCTGAAATAGGACGCGTATTTAAAATCCAAAAAAAAATGCTTTCGAGCAATCTGTGGAGCACATTCCATGACATCGTGCAAGCCATTATTTAAAGAAAGAAAAGTGCTACCACTCGCATGTATGTATATAAAACAAGCCGCGATTTTTGTCCAGTAATTTCCTAAATACTTCCCAAGTAATTTAAAATTTTTAAGTCTTTACCCGACGAGTTTAAATATTTCCCAATGACAAAGTTAAAAAACAAACTTCACGAATGGCTTTTACTTAATTGTTTTTATACCGTTAATGAGTATCTTGATCACAAAAATCAAAACAAATTACATATTTAAATATCTGTATCTAAATTGCTTGAATTTTTTTCTGTGAGTTAATAAAAAACATAGTTATAGAATAATTATTAGTTAATTTTTTTTTCCTAGTTTGACAACTTCCAATGGATTCTGCCAGCGTAAAGTTTCATGAAAGTCACACGGAGTATTTGACTGGTTTCTGTTTCCGTAGAAATGCTTACTTAACTTTATGATACGAAGTTACATAGGTAGTTATTTTCGATCGCATTAACATATTATAATAGTTTTGCAAAATTATTGCTAATATAATAAATAATATGGATATAAGTAAGTGGTAAAATATATAATAAAATGGATATAGGTAAGTGGTAAAAGTACTATAGTTTAATGTTATTAACGGATATGAAATCTAATAAAGTTTTCACAAAAGGAGTGTAAACTAAATTTAACAAAGACGTAAGATTTGTAGGACGAGGGATGTTATTGGGAAGGAAATTGTATTGTGTAACCATGGTTTGGAGGGGATGTCAGGTTGGAGTTCTGCATAATATTTACTGATAGACATCTGAGATTTTTTACAAAGAGAGTTCCAATCTGACATCTGATCGATTTTCGCAAGAGAAATAAGGTCATGTGTATATGTTATATGATGCATGAGGGTACCGGAATTAGATGCTTGTTTTGCTAAGGAATCGACAATTTCTTTGTCATGTATGTAGTTGTCTTGGCAGCCAAGCAAGTTTCAAATTAATACTTTGACAAAAACATCTATACAGTGCATCTTTTATTTTAAAAATAATTGAGAATTTCGATTTACTTCGAAACGGGTTAGATGAAATGTTTTGTAATGAACATATGAGTCGGTAAAAACAATACATTTGTTAATTTTATGCGCTTCTATAAATAACATTGCTTCTAAAATAGCAAAAGCTTCACCAGTGAAAATTGAAGTAGTTACACTCAAGTACTCCCAAGATAATTTGTAAGCACTTTAGTTGGATTTTATCAAAAAGCTTAAGAGCTTGTTTATTAAAAGGTTCTAAGAGAAATGTACCATAGTCAAAATGACTAGGTTTAGATTAGATTAGGGCATTATATGAAAGTTTTAAACAATATGGATGAGATTCCCACCAAACACCTGTCAGTGAACGTAGGAAATTTACATTCTTTTTTCATTTTTGAGCAATAAACGTTAAATGAGGAATACCTGTCATCTTAGAGTCCAGAAAAACACCTAGGAATTTAACATTATCACTTGTCTTTGATTTTGATTTTGTAATGAGATTGAATTATTGGGACAAAATCTTTTTCTAGAGAATATTACTATTCTACTCTTTGTAGGTGATAAGGAAAGACCGTTATCAGTAAGCCAATTATTTAAGTAGAACAATGCAGAATTAAGACGACAACTTAAGTCTGTAAAGTTCTTGGAAGAGTAATAAAGCGTTAGATCATCAGCATATTGTAAGAATTTACAGAAGAAGTTAACATAATGTTCGAGATTATGGGTGTAGATATTAAATAAAATAGGGGTTAATACAGAACCTTGTGGGAGGCCTCACCAGATCTGTCTAGGAGGGAGCAGTTTACCTTGAACTCTTGTAAATTGACCTTACTGAAAGTAAATTAAAAATAATGCGAATTATTCTATAGGGAATATCCAAAAGAAACACCTTTTCTTTGAGTAAAGGGTGGATAACGTATTCATAGGCTGATGATACACCGAGAAAAACAGCAGCAACCGATT